GGGGTGTAGGCCAGAGGTGCACGGGGTGAGAGGCTCCACCAGAGACAGAGTGGGGAGCAGAACAGAAGGATCTACAGAAGTACCCTGCTGAGGGGAGCAGGGGGAGACAGGAGAGGTCTGCTGCGCCGTGTGGGTCAGTTCCGGAGCGGGGATTAAACTCGTGCTGCAGCAGCTGCAGACAGCTTCGTAGTGCTTACGCTACCAGAGAGGCCCTTATTACATATTTTTTAAACTTCTGGAAGATCCAGTGTCTTACTAACAAAGCAGCCCACTCCGCATCATTTTCAAGTAAAGGCTTTTTTGCTGGCCTGACTCTCTAAAGAAACATATTAGAGATAATTGCTGTTCTTAAATAGCTCCCTCTCTAGTAAAAGGAAAAGGTAGTTGGGGGAGAAGAGTCAGAGCCAGGCTGGGAGGCTGAATGGGCATTCCCACAGCGGAAAATGGAGAATTCTCATCACCAGAACTTGTCGGCATGAAAGCATCAGCACCTCAGAAGGAGTTGTGTGTGGCTGTTAGTATTGACACACAAACTCATAATCCTTTCACTTACTTAACCTGATTTTATTAGTACCCTGTACCTCAGGTGATAGCTTCCTGAAATGACAAAATTTGCATTTCAGTTTTTATTCTAAAGTTGAGACTTTGCTTGAATGCGGTGAGTACCCCTCCTTTGTGCTGTGGTACCAAGGTTGGGCCCTCAGAGGCCCCGAGCACAGGCGCTCCCCTTCTCTCAGCTCTGTCACCCCCAGCCTTGGCGCAGCTGGCACTGTTTGTAGTGAGACGGGGCCTCATCCTTCCTCAGCCACTGATATTTCTGGATCTGGAGCTATGGACAAATTCCCGTCTCTGAGCGTTGGTCTCACCTCTGTCACAGGGAACAGCACTTACTTCATGGGCCAGTCTGATAGGTCCATGGACCATCCTCACACGCTGAAGAATACATGGGCCAGACTTTGTGTGAGGCCGTGTAGACTCCGTTCAAGCAGCTTTGAGCGCTGCTGGCACCCACTGGAGGCTGAGTGATGCCTCAGACTGTGTTTTCTAGAATCACCTACCCTACTTATCTCTGCTTCTGGTGTGAAAACCCACTTTATACTTTGTCTTTTCTCTCTCATTATATACAATTCTGATAACAGTTTCACGTATTGATTTGAGATCATTGTAAACTCAAAGTGGGGTTGAAGTCACTTAACTAACAGTAGCTTTTGTAGCTTTTCTTCCTTATCGGAGGAGCAGCAGGAAGATTTTATAATTCGGGATGACTGTAATTTGAGTCAGAGGAAAGGACGCAATACAATTTTCCCAAGTCCATTTAAGGAGCAAGCGCCTCGACGGGGGATGATTTCCTTATTCCACAGTTGTGATCTAGCTGTCCACATCTTGCTTTTCTGCTTGACTCTTACTCATCTGCTGAGGGATCACCGCATCATCTGAGAATCTTGTCTCCAGGAGTTTCTTCTCCCTTGTCTAGTATCCTCTCCTAGCTGGAATCCACTTCACACCGAGAAGGGGTGTCTGTGGTGGGACTGAGGGTAAGTGGCCTTAGATGCTGTAAGCGACTTGCCATTTTCTCGTTGGCACTTTTGGCGACCTCATGGCCGGTGTGGTAGTCGTGGAGTGGTGTGTTGGCGGCTTCAGCCGATGGCTTCTATCAGGCTTCCTTGTCCTCTTGCTCAATTCCAGAGAAGAGTTCTTTCCTCATTCTTGGCTACAATAATAAAGCATCACCGGTGAGGCGGTACCGATCTGACACCTGTCTGGAAGGGTTGATGTGCCTGGACGCTGCGTCGGGAGCGCTCTGGTCAGTGCGCGGCTGCGGTCAGTGCATGGCTCCCGGTCAGTGTGCACTATAGTCTTCTGAGGCAGGTATCTAGCAGCAGAGATGCAGGACTTTGGGGTTAGTCTGAACGCTGGTGTAGGCCAGACATGGAGCGGGACGGAGCTCGACTGTACATTCTGCTGTGTTTAGTTTAGCTTGACTCTGGATGCCAAGGAGGCTAATCGTCAGCATAATTCTTAGGAGGTATCTCTTGTGAGGAGACATTTGCCGGCTCCTCTCAGTACTGAGGCTGAGTTTTACAATGACATCAATAAGGTACACTTCAGAATTTCTGAGAAGCTCGACTAGTTGAGAAGAAAACAGTTCCCACCAGCCTTCTGTATTTGTGCTAATGCCGGGAATCCGAGGATTTTGCTATGGGTTGGCCCAGAGGAAGTAAGTTTATCAGATTTGGTGTTTCGCGCACACAGTTCCCTAGAGACACATTTTGTGCGGCTTATGCTCTGCATCGGATTTGAGCTCAGCAAACTCAGCCTTGCTGCACTAGCAGCTCCTATTTATATTACACAGTTCCTACATTTTCCAAAAAAAGGATTTTAGCTGATAGCTCCCTCTTAATCCGGCCTTCTGACACATATCAGATACTACATGCGTGTTATCAACACCTCTAAACGCTACAGCTTCCCTTGTATGATAAACACTATTGTCTGCTCGCTGAAAATGAGGAAACTGAAGCACATATAGAGGTGACTTGCCCACGGGCATCCACCTGTCCAGGGATGAGCTCGCCCAGAACCCAGGTGCATCTCATCGAAGCTGGTGCTCTGGTCCTAAACCTGTCTTTCAGTAAATGTTACTTTTACAGTCCTGCCCCCCGCGCTCCTGGCCTAGTTGAGCCAAAGGTGGCTGATTGAACTTGAATCTGGTTCAGCAACTTGAGTCAGGTTTATGCATCTCAGCACACAGCAGGTGTCAACGTTCTACAAGGAAAGGCAGTGAAGTTTGCAGCGTCCTCCATTTCACAGACAAGGAAACCAAATCCCAGCGAGGAGGGGCATGTCTCATGAAGGACCCATCACCACCAGCTCTGGCATTTTGTGACGTGAGGTCTGTGTGCCGTGGGTGTATAAATCTTCCGGTCATATGTTTTTCATTCACACAGGCCCTTTCTAGAAATCCTGCAGGTGGAGAGGTGCCTCTGCTGATTTCTTGCTGGGTCACTTTGGGCAGCCTGCTTGGCCACCCTTATCGGGCGACTAAAAAGCCCCTGGAGATCATCTAAGATCGTGTGACATCTCTGACAAATGGGGAAACTGAGGCCTAGGGTGGCGAAGGGGCCTGCCTGAAATTCAGATCGAGTTAGAGAGCCAGTGTGTTCCACTCACTCATCTCTCTCCTCCTACGGTCGACTCTTCATCCCAGTGGATGGATAGAAGAAGTCTCCCCTCACACCCCCAACTCCCCTTTCTTCACTGTTTGATGCTTTTCACTGCCCACTGCACATCTCACCCTGTAGCGTAAGAGACATTTCCTGCCTTGCGGCCCCATTTGTCCTGCCCTGTGTGTGCTATGTCAGCATAATTGGTTTTGTCTTTTCCCACTGGTGTTTCCTGTGCCTGGGTCAGTGCCTGGTCCATAGAAGGACTTAAGTGACTCTTGGTAAATGATTGGATGAAAAATATTTCAACTCTAAATAAGTTGACGGGCTCTGTGGGAAGGTGCCGGCCCTTAGGCGTCGCTGTCCTGCAGTGGAGCAGAATATTTTCCTTCCCACTTGTTTGATTCTGGTTTGGATCAGAAGTTACAGGAACAGCTTGTTTATGGGAGAGTAATCGGACTTTCCAGTAATATTAGTAACAACAGTAATATTTAGAATAATAGCAACAGTAATCCAGTTATTACTAACAAAGCCGATCCCCACCCCTTATGGAGTGCTTACTGTCTGCCAAACACACCGGAGGAGGGGCTGGCCTGAGAACACCCCACTTGTCCGCGCCTCCATCCTCACCGTAGCCCACGGAGGCGGCAGCTGGCCCGTGTCTGTGCCAGAGGAGGAAACCAAACCTCAGAGAGTGAAGTTACGTGTCCTCCCGTAACACGGCCGGATTTGGGGGTCTGTGATCCTCAAGATTAAGCTCTTTACCGGTAACACTCAGTGTTAGTTTGGGGTGTCCTCTCTTTGGAAAAGCTAAAGACTAAGCACATCTGCTTTGGGGTGTCCCTGGGCTAGGAATACCACCCGCCAAGGGGGTGCAAAATCACAGGCAGGAAGAAAGATGTATTTTTGTTTCAGCCCAGCTTTCCAGCTTTTTCTGCACTCAGGTCACAGTACAAAGGGCCTTTCATCTTGAACTGCTAGGCTGTTCTCACTTCCCAGCCAGCCTTCCTGGAGGGGCCAAGGAAAATTCCTGTGGTGACAGGTCACTAAAGCTCTCCTAGGGAGCCACTGTAGCACTTCTCCCCTGTTCACAGCCACCCCCTAAAGGAAGTGTGGGCAGAGAGCGAGAACAGGCCTCCTTCCCCCCGCCCTGCTACTGCCCTGTGGCCGTCTCAGGAAGGGGCTGTGGGCGATGATGCGTTCGTAAATCTCTTTTAAGACGTTAGGGAGCCTTTCAGTTCTGGACACACTGTACCTGTTAAACCGAGCTCACCACCTGCTGTAAAGAATGTTGGCATTCATGTTGATGCCTGCTGCCTGGCCTGGCCTCCTCTGTGCCACAGCAGTGCCCACCCAGTGTCGCACACATCGGTGTTTGGAGTGAGTGGTCGCTAGCCCAGGGTCACCCCGTGAGTGTCCCCGCAGAGTGCCACCTGGCTGGGAGATGGCAGGAGGGGGAGCGCCCCATTCCCTGCCACGTTCCCTGGCGGGGTTCAGCGCCCAGACACCCATCTTGGATGTCAGGTGAGAACTTGAGGCTCTCGTTAACGTGGCACGCACCAGGTTATTCTAATGTGTTAATGACTAACAATGACTATATGTAATTAAAGGTGGGGAGGTGGAAGGAATAGTTGTTCATTTCCTGGTCAAGGCACAGTAAATCAGAGAGGTTAGCACTGAAAATTCTTGCAGGGAGACTGTGTCCTAAGAAAGCGGGGTGCCTCCTCTCACCCTCACTCGAGTGAGCCATCGCTTCCCAGCTGTTGAGCGCTCGCTGCTCTCCCTCCCCTGCTGCGCTGGCCGGCTCTGCCCTGACTGGACTTCCTGCTTCTCTTCTAGCTGAAGAGTTGGACAGTGGAGGACCTTAAGAAGAGGCTCTCGGCCCTCGACCCCATGATGGAGCAGGAGATTGAAGAGATCCGACAGAAGTACCAGTCAAAGCGGCAGCCGATCCTGGATGCCATTGAGGCCAAGAAGCGGCGGCAGCAGAACTTCTGAGCCGGGCGGGGCCGGGCCGGGCGCCCCAGGCTCTGTGGACCGGGGCTCGTGTCCTGTGGTCAGCCCGCGCGGCCCGGCCGGGCGCCCCGGGCTCTGCGGACCGGGGCTCGTGTCCCGTGGTCAGCTCGCGTGGCCCGGCTGGGCGCCCCGGTCTCTGCGGACTGGGGCTCGTGTCCTGTGGTCAGCCCACACGCCCACTCTGGCTCCGGTCCGCAGCACCTTCGTGAGCTCAGGAAGCCACCGCCAGCCTGCGCAGCCAGCGCGCACGTGTGAACGGCCAGGTGTCGTCTTTCCTAGGATTGATGTTGGCGCTTTCACACTCAGAGTTTTAAACCCCAGGAACAGACTCCCCGTTGGGTGATAGCTGGGACAGTTTTGCAGTGTCTTTTGATTTTCTTCTCCCAATAGCTTTCGATGGTTCTTTTTGAAAGATTTTTAAAAATATATATGAAAATGCACATATATGTAAATTATAACCGGATCCCCACCCAGCGTGGGGGCGTCTCTGTACAGGTACAGTCCTAAGCAGTTTGCCTCTTTTCTGTGAGATCATGGTACTGTGGAACATGAGCGCTGGATACAGGAAGCCGCCGGGGTCGCTGGACTCCCCCGAGCGAGTCTCACCCTTTTGCTGGGCTGCATTTAAAAACTAGGTTTGGGCCCTCTCTGGCACTGTGGTTTCAGCCTCCCGTGCGTCACCCCGGCTTCTGGAGCTACTGGTGATAGCCAAGAGAAAGCCTTGAGAGTTTGTGTTTACTTTTGAGCCCCAGGAGACGCCTGGTGCCTTCCTTGCAAAGCCTCTGCGAGGTTTCAGGGCCTTCCGTGCGTCGCCACTCCCTATTGCCTCAAGTCACAGCACAGATACTGCCCAGTGCCTTAGGAGGAGACGTGATCCAGGCAGGGGATGGGCCTACCGGGAGCTCCCAGCAGACACGGAGCTGTGGTCAGTCCACAGAAGGGAAAGCGTTCACGTTCCCATTGTTTATGTGACGGTCACACCTGTGGGGTTTGCCCACATTCCTTACAGATGGGGTAGAGGATCACTTCAGTGACCCACATTCAAGTATGTGACTTTTTTGTTGTACTGCCAGGGGGTCTGAAAAGGATACATGAATGTCAGCCTCAGGTTGTTCTCCAGGAGACCGAGCCCAGACATGGAGAATGCCAGGGCTGGGACAGACCACGGTCCTCATCTGCCCACTGAGGCTTAAAGGGGGCGCTGCCGCGGCCAGAATCACAGAGCATCCAGAGGAAGAGTGGGCTCCTCACCTCGTCCCTGAACCAGCCTCTTCCTTGAGGGAAGAAACTTTGAGTCACACTTTGAGGGTGCTGGTTGAGTTGTTCCAGGGAACCTTCCGAATGGAAACTTGGTCTTGTTTTGTCTCTGGTGGATGACAGGTTATGAAGAAATTCATATGGGGAGCCAGATGGCTCCGGATCAGCCTTTCCGTGAGCTCTGCCATGTCCCCTGGGTAGGTTTAGGGCCTAAACAGGTCAGAGGCTTTGCTGAAGGCAGCGCTAGGCCATCCCTCTGCAGCGTCAGCTCAAAGCCCCAGGTCATCTAGTCACACAGCAAGGGTTAGAGAGGCAGTGCAGCTAACTTCATTTTCTAATAGTTCTTCCCCTTGGATAGGGGAACTGTGACTGGCTTATACCTCAGGATCCTGTAATATGATTCCATATTGCTTTTGTTGCCCAAACCTCGAATCAGAAGGAAGGCTAGGAATAGTCCTCCTCTGAGGCCAGATTCTACTCTATACAATTAAAGCAGGCTTCAAAACATGCAAGAGGCAGGTGTTAGTCTGCAGGGAGTGGCCATTTGAGCAGCTGTGTGGCAGATACTGAGGACAGAGATCAACTTGAGACTCCTGGTAGAGGAATAGAGGCAGCTGGCAGCCGTCGCTCACACGGGCCAGGTACTGGTGAGGAAGGCTCGTTAGGCATCAGCTCCCTCCCCACGATAACCCAGGAAGTTACTTTTTCTCCACTTCATAGATAAAGAAGCGGGTTCAGAGAGGGGAAGTTCCCTGGCCAAGGCGACACAGCTGGGGATGGTGCGGTCGGGAGGCACAGCATCTCCACACGGGCCCTCATCTGCAGGGAAATGAAGTCACCGGTCTTTTTAAAATGAAGTGGCCGCCTTTTCTTACACAGACTAAATTATCTGGCATTTTTAGACTGGGTAACAGCTGAGTTCATAAGCAAGCCTGACAGCCAAGGGAATTTAAAAAATCCGAGCACCGAGCAGGCATTCCCCCACGCCATCTGCTGTGCCGATGAACACTCCTGCCTCAGTCTCTTTTAAAAAGGACTTTGCGCTTGGCCCGACCAGAGGGAAATGCCCGTTTTCTCCCTTCCTACATGAAAGATACTCCAGCTCTTCCCCATCGATACTCCTGGGTCATGAATCTTAAGCCAGGGTTTGTTCTGTTTCAAGCATGTGTGCAGCCCACGTACTGGTCCAGCAAAGGATCCTGCTTGCTACGCTTGCTGGCCACAGCCCTCTGGCCAGGCCTGTTTCTCACAGAGCTGATCAGATGACGGGTGTTTCTGTTTTCTAGTGACAGGAAGGCAGAAACACATTCTCGACTCCTCAGGCCAAGGTCATTCAGTGAGCTGTCACTGAACCCGAGCCGCAGTCAGTGCGTGTCATTCATTACTCACGATTCCAGGAGCTCAGCCTCCCACTTGTTCTCTCCTCAGAAAAGATGAGTGACCCACGCCTAAGTGCATCTTTCAGAGGTACGGAAACCTGAGGCCGTTCGGTCAGATTCTCTAGGAATACCTGAATTGCTTCCTCGTCAGTAATTTTGAAGCACATTTCTATTTTCTTTTGTCCCTTCTGTCAACCACCGGTTGGATGGAGGGATGGATGTTTGACTTACTGGCTAGATGCATGATTGATTGGTTGATAGAACAAAATAATACTCTGAAGCAACTCTAGCCTTGACCCTTGAGTCTCTAGATTCTGATCCAGGAAACAGTTACCTGGCACCTACAGATGCCAGAGACATTATATCATTTGAAATTCAATAGCTCTTTCCAACATTCAGTAGTTAACTTTCCAACAAGTAAGGTGACATCATTATAAGCCCTACTGCTATTAAAAGGCTAGTCACAATATTAAGAACAACCTTGTGCTAATAAATTCAGCAACTTAAAAGAATCGGAGAAATTCCTTGTAAGATGCAAAGTACCAAACTTGAGAAATTGAACAGCCCATGTCTAGTAAAACACAATAGACCCGAGAGGGACAGTTATGGTCCTCATCTTACAGAGAAGAACAGAACTGACACTCGGAGAAAGTAGGTGTGTTGCTCAAGGTCACGTCGCTAGAATATGGCAGAGAACTGTTCAAACCAGGTCTTCAGGTTCCCACCCCAGCGCCCTTCCCAGCACACCGTGTTGCCTCTAGAGACCGCAGATCCTCCTCTGCTGGGACACTGCCCTGCCCAGTTCACACCTCCCACCCTGCCCCTTCTCAAGCGCGGTGTTTGTGCTTCCAGCAGGTTGATTCGCATTGTCTTGGGAATCCATGTCCTCGTTTTGTGTTGGGCGGGGGGGATGTCTCTTCCACCAGCTTGCACTCAGACCAGCTTGGGAGAAAAAAAACGCTTAAATGCTGTTGCGGATGTACAGCTTGAAAATGTGAAATTTGTAGCTTTAAAATTTTGTAACAAAAATGGTAGCACTGGCTTAAGTGCTGACTTGAAATGCTGTTTTATAAGGTTTGGATGTAAATAATCAACCGAGATCAGCAGTTTGTATATGTATGAACAGAGTTTCCCCACTGCCCTCGCCACCTTCAGAAGTTGTTGAAGGCCTCTTGTGTGCTTTTATGTTAAAATTGTCATTCTCCTTTCTTCCTTCTTCCTCCCATGCCACCTTGTTTTAAATAAACTGCCCTTTGGGCCATAAACTAGCCTCTTTGTAAAAAGAAGAGGTCCTCCCTACGTGGCCTGGATAATGTGTTGTGAACCCTTGTGACATTGGTCAAGTGGGTGTTCACTCTGGAATCCAAAGCTGAAGGGAGGGTGGGAAGGGAGAGTCAACTCTTGTTGAACACCCACTGTGTGCCAGATACTGACTAGTGGTGAGGGATGCAAACAAGACCCAGACACGCTTCCTGCAGGTCAGCAGGGGTCTCAGTCAAACCCACCAGCCCTGGAAATGCAGCAGGTTCAACACTGACTCATTGGAACTCGATGAGAAAACTGCATCCCTGGCAGGTGTTGAAAAAGCACAAGGACAGTGTTTAATTCTCCATCATCTCCACTGAAGTGACAGTTTCTAGGAACCCGTGGATGACAGTGTCAAGTGAAGACTTGCTGGTCTGTGGTGGAAGGGAGTCTGTGGCCAGTGGACACCAGGTCAGAGAGCCATGGAACAGTTCTGCTGGGATTCCAAGGAAGACTTCCTGGAGACAGTAAAAGATCCTGAACTTGGAAAATGAGGAAGAGATGGGCTAGGCAGGAACGGGAGGAATGAGGGAGAGAGGCCTTCCTGCCTGGAGGCCCCACCTACATCCACCAGGGCAAGGTAGGAGGCCCGGATGTAGATCACCTTGCAATCCTTTCGCAGGAAGCCACACCAGGCTGGCCCAGCATTGCCAGGGGACTACCAGAAATAATTCCCCAACCTGGCTCTGGGTTCTTCGTCTTAAGCTTATGCTACAGCACATGGAGCAGAATTCCACTGAAAAGTGGAGGTAGGTATCTCGGGCCCAACTTTGCACCGCATTTAATGTAACAGTCCCACCTCCCGTCTGCCTGCCATGCTGTCCTGCCAGCTTTTCTGGGAGTGATGTGTCTTCCTGTTGTCTGACTTAGCACCCTGAAATACCCAGTGATTCCTTCCTGTGGCTAGCATTGGTAGCAGCTGTCCCTAATTCAAAAGGACGGCTATAGACTCACCTTTACTAAGCTCTTATTAGGTGTAAGACGCTGCAGAGCCTTTGAGAAGGTTTGTTTTGCTTCCAGACTCTGAGGCACGCAGCGGGTCACCTGTCTATGGACAGGTGATTCTCATCGTGTGCAGTGTGAGATGGTTTGTTTTGCTTCCAGACTCTGAGGCACGCAGCGGGTCACCTGTCTATGGACAGGTGATTCTCATCGTGTGCAGTGCTGCCCATGAGGAAGAGTTCTGGAAATGCACCAGTGTTTTGTTGTGACAAGGAGTACAGGGCCCTTCCAAGCATTTAATGGGCAGCAGCTGCCCTGCAGTGCATGGTGGAAAGTCCTCATCCAGCTCAACACTCGCGTCCCACTGTATGTTTGTGTTGGTGAGAAACTTGTTAAAAACACCCAGTAGCAGCCCTCTATGGTGGTGCAAGGGGACGGCGCAGCACCGTGGAGCTTGGCACAGGTGCTTCAGCGTGAGTTCGATCCCCTGTTGGGGAGCTGACCCACATGGCGCGGCAGACCTCTCCTGACCCGCCCGCTGCTCCCCTCACCAGTGCACTTCATCAGTTGGCCTGCTCTGCTCCCCACTCGTCTCTGGTGAATCCTCTCACCTCCCTGTACCTCTGACCTGTACCCCAGTTCTGTATGCATAAATAAATGTTTTTTAAAAAAGAAACAGCCCGTACCGGGCCATCTAAAACACAGTGTTTGTAGTATTTACTATCGATTTTCCAAAGAATGAATGATAGAGATGGAGAGATACTTGCAGTTTGTTTTGCTTGAAGCTTGACCACTACCCACCCAGCATAATAGCTGGAATGAAAGTGATGGAAAATCCTAGAAGTTGACAAAGAAGTGGAGCACACGAATGCTTCAGAAAGCAGCTCATTCTGAACACCTGTGGGTGTGACCCAGCCAGCCCTCTCCTAGGTATTTCTCTTCAGAAATGTCTACATACTTTCACCAAAAAACATGCAAGGAATACTCATAGCAGCCTTAGCCAAACTAATCCACCCTGGTGACCCATAACAATAGAATAGGAAAACGAGTGTAGATTCATGCAGCGGAACACCATCTAGCAGCGAGAATCTCCAGCTACCGTGGAAATAAGTCCAGACCAACTGAAAGACAAAAGCAAAAGACTTTATTCTGAGCAAGGAGCTGCTGCAGTCACGTGCATTTAGGCAGAGACTCAAAAGCAGGCCAAGGCGTGGGGAAGTTTTATAGTGGAAAAAAGGAAAGACTCAAGCCTTCCTGGCTAGAGGCTGCGGGCCTGGGGGAGATTCCGTGTCACCTCCCTTTTCCAGTATGAACGCCCTGCTCGGCTCTTCATTGAGCTGAAAAACTGCTCTACTCCAAGGGGCTCAGGGAGGACCCTGGGCCTCTCTGGGCCTCCGTTGTCTGATCTGTGAATGGGGAGGAGACACAGAATGAAATGTAAAGCATTTCTGCATCCACAGTGAAAGGATCTCTTGTGACTGGCAGCAGGACTGAGATTTCCAGAACCAAAGTTGGCTCGTGCGGGTTGCCGAGACCACAGCCCTCCTGCACTTTTATGAAGTGAGGCATTGACAGACAGAGGGACTGTGACGAGTGGAATGGCCACATGAGAGGATGTGGGAGAAACCCAAGCAAACTCACACCCTGGTAGAAGCAGCCCCCGCCCTTCCTTACTGGAGAAAGCTCCCAAGTTTCTGCTCACTCCACCCCCAAGGCAGCTGAGCTGGAAGGTGGAGGCTGTTTTGGCCTAGAGGGTGAAAAATAGTCTCTGAGTAGGGAAGAGTCTTGGACCCATATAGAATTGCAGAAATGTGGTCATTGATACCACCAGAATTTGGGGAGTATTTGTGGGAGTGAATCTTTGTGGTATGTGGTGGAGGGGGAATGTAATTTGGGCCAGGCTGATCTCGATAAGGACGTACGAACCAAGGACGTACGAACCAGGGCATCGGGGTTCTGTGTCAACGCCGTGGTTGGCTGGGTGCTAACCACCAGTGGGTTGGCTGATGCAAACTGGGCCCAACCGCTGGCTACATGAGATGGAATTTAAAGGCTACAAACGCCTTGGCATCATGCAGAGAAGCGATTCAAGTGTTTTGGAAGATGGGGTGCTGGATCAGATCTGTGTTGTGCTTCCTACAAATACTTCCGAGGCCCTCCGTGAGCCTAGAACGTTTATCCTTGCTTTGAGGAAAGTGTGGGATGGGGCACTGGGTGGGAGGGCCACAACATGCAGTGGGTTTCTGATTTGGGGAGAGGGGTGCCAGAGGGAGGAAGAATGCAGGGTGTGGGGAGCCAGACATTGGCATTTAGCTTCCAGAAGTCAAGTGGCATGAGGCAGGAGCTCATGTTGGAGGACTCTAAAAGTTAAAGAGAGCCCCCTGAAGTCTTAACGTGTGTAAGCAGTAACACGCAAGAAACAAATCAGAGCCAAATAAAAATCAACATGCTATCTGGCCCCGGCAAAAACAGCCCTGAGTGGGCTGCCTGCTCCAGCCTGCCCCCTGCCTCTCGCTGGCTTCCGTTTATTGACCTGAAGTCTTCGGCCTGAAGGACATCCTCCTGGTCCATGGGGGGGCCTCTGCTGTGCTGCTAGATGAGTGCAGGATCACATTTCTCTTGCCTTTTCCATCACTGGGCACTGAAGGCAGGGAACTGCCCAAACCTTTGGGAGACCGTGCTGAAGACAGTTCATGCCCACACTCGGGTCCGGGAGCATCGCTGCCCGCCGCCAATCGTGTGAAAGATGCTGTGTTCACCCTTTGTCCACGGCACTGGAGGCCCAGTGGGACCCCAAAGTTGTCCTGTACCTCGTTTCCGAGTGAGAGTTGGAAGAGGTCCCCACATCGGTTGCCTGACCCGTGGAGGCCCTCAATGGCCAACAGAAGCCCACCGAGCCACTGCTTAGCAGTAGACAGCAGCAGACCACGCTGCGGGGAGGCTGCGGGGGTTCGTGTGGGCCAAAGGCCGTGGGCGACGGCTTCTGTGACAACACCGCTAACTGCCCCCACTGTCTGGTGCCGGCTGGGGGGGCTGGGAAATGGATGTTTTAACAAGGAGGCCGTTCCAACCTCCGCTGCTGTGCGCGAGATGCGCTCCCCACCACCCTGCAGCTGCTGTGCCAGAGCCGGAAAGGAATGCCAGGTTCACCCTTGACTCTACTCAGGGAGTCCTCAGTCCTTCACTCTGCAGCTGAAAAAGCTCTGGAATTCCAAGTCGTCCCGCTTCACAAGCCATCGTGCTGATTCACGCCAGAGATGAAATCACATGAATAGGGCCTGCAGAGCAAGAAGTGTATTTTTGGTTTCTACAAGATAGTTTCCTTCTGTTAGAAACGTTTATGAAACCCCGTGCGTGGGAAGGAGGTGTGAGAGTGGCGGGAGCCGCCAGGCACTGGAACACCCGGGACACCCGCTATTTTTGCATATGAATATCCCTCCCCTCTGTGGCGATGACATCACAGGGCCTTTTCTTGGGGGAACTACCTTTCTGCAGTCCATGTGGCCTGTCACAGGAATCCAGGTGCTGCGGGAGAGTGACCCAGACGCAGGGTCTGGCACCGTGAGCACAGACACGGGAGGGGCGTGGCCGGAGGCCGTGGCCCAAACAAGTTCCCGGTTCTGCCCTGAGGGCCCCAGAACTCCCCCAGTTCCTGCATTTCCTTAGGCCAGGTGGGTCGACTCCCCTGGATGGGGTGAATTCCCCACTAAGTTCACGTAGTAATCCCTTGACGTTTCAAATGTTACTTCACTTGGAGAACAGGTCTTTCTGCAGTGTGAGTAAATTAAAGGTCTACCAGGTGGGCCCTGAATGCCAGCAGGAGAGTCTGAGGGAGGCAGCGGGAGGCGTGACACAGGGCAGGCGGCCACTGATTTCGGAGTGGAAATGCGGGAGGTCGTGAGGCAGCCCCAGGGCTGAGGCCCCGAGAACCAGGCTGGGCGAGGACACTTTGATTACTTTCTTCCTGGTCTCCAGACTGTGAGAGAATACATTCCTATTCAATCTGTAGCAGTTAATTATGGCAGCCATGGCAAATTCTTCCCGTAAATTCACCTTTTTCTCAGTTTCTGTTGCTCATGAGCAAAGTGCCTTACTCACCACCACTGCCCAGGGCTGTTCTGCTGGAGGCCAAGGAATTGCCTTTCGGTCAAGTCAGTCCCAGATCGATTCCTGCCATTTGCAACCTGTGCCGGACCCCAAACTGGAGCCAGAGAACATGGCGCTCGTGTCGCTCCTGTATCGCTGCCCTCCCCAGCCCTGGAGGCGGCCGGCCCCACGGGCAGAAACAGGTCCCAGGCCTGGCTGCTGTCCTGGCATCAGGGTTCCTCTGGTGCACAGGAGTGAGTCCTGGTTTCTGCTGGGACCACAGGCAGCCCAGTGACGGATGTGGCCTGTTGAGTGTCCCGGGCCTCTCCCTGCCCAGCTCGGGTAGTTGTCCGCGGGGTCAGAAAGTCCAGCAGGAACTGGCTCCTTGGGTTGTTGAGCGGGGCCTCTGCATGGTACACATGGCACCCCCGACTTTGTGCCCCTTGAGAGGTGAGGGTGCGGAGGGCTCTCGGGCGCCCCTCGGGGTGGCTCCAGGATCCGCTCCTATCCAGAGACTTGGACTCCATCCACGCAAATCCACGCACAGGCTGACTATGCACCAGGCTGTGAGGTGGACCCCAGGCCTCCCTACTGCTCGGAAGGCACCTCCTGGAACCCCACTGCCTAGCCAGCTATTTATCCAGATGATGAAGGGTTAAACTGTCACCAGTCAGGAGTCTTCTCTGAAAGTCTTGACGAGTGGCCTGGGACCTGACGCATGCTTACCATTCCCTGTGCTTAGCAGGGCTCACCATGACATGTGTGTGATGACTGGGCTGAGATCCATCCCCCCTCTAGTCTGTAAGCCTGTGAGTAAAGGGGTGTCTGCCTGGTTTGCCTTTGTGTCTGGTGAACCAAGAAAGCCATCAACAGACCAGACCCAGGAGGGTAAGGGTAGTTGGCCTGACACTGTGGGTCTGTGTGAGGTGCCTGGGGTGAGGATGGGGGGTGCTACGGGGAATTGGAGAGTGCACCCCTCTCCCACAGACATTCCCATACAAATATATCCTAAAAATGCCATTCAGCAAAACGACCTGTGTGCAGGCCACATGTGAACCCCCGCTCAGGTCCGGTATTTGGAATGAGTGAAGAACCTGCAAGGAATTCCTGAGCAAGCATCCGAATGTGAGAAGAGCAGCCAGAACCCAGAGGCTGCCCCTTCAGTCTTGACGCCAGGCCAGGTCTCTCCTCGGCTACTTCCCCGGCTCCGGGTCACGGCACACGGAAGGCGGCACTCGCGGGCTGGGCTCTTCAACTGAAGCTCACCGTGAGGGACAGACCGCATCACACAGGCGACCCCCCTGAGGTGGTGAGTGTTCCCGTGGACAGAAGGGGCCGCCCTCACAGGTTGCCCAGCAGGCGGAGGGAGGATTCAGCACAGACGAAGACGGGAGCTGGAGCTGGGCCAAAGGACAGGCGTTGTGAGCACTTGCCTGGATGGAAACCCAGGGAGGGCTGGAGGCCTTGCTCGGTGGGCTGAGAGGTGCTGCTGTGGTCAGAGGTCCATGCGAGGTGGGATTGGCGTGGCTTTAAACGAGCACCTCCAGCTCCCTCAGGCACAGACTGACACTTGGCAGATGAGCTCAATCTGGAGAAGGGGCGGGAATGTGCCCACTTTGCAGAGATGCCCTGACACCCCACCCACGCTGCTCAGCAAACCCTCAAACTCGCAGGTCCCGGCACAGCTGGCTCTAGACCCCAGGCCCCTGCAGGCCGCCCGTATCTCCCGTGAGTCCCAGGGAAAGCCAAAGCAGACTTGCTGAGCAGATCACGAGCACCAGGGAGAGAGGCAGCGCCTTCCTCTTCCCTCCCAGACCTCCTGCTGGCTGCTCCCCGAAGAGAACTGGCTGTACCCCTATGGGCCCACTCGGGGGATTCACGAACCCCTCAGACAACTTTGAGAGGGCAGAAGAAAGATGGCGTGGAAGGTGCATGCCCCCGGGCTGCCCAACAAGCCTGGATTTCAAACTCAGCCCCTACTTGTGATTGTGTGACGGGCAGGCAAGGGCCTCTCCACGCCTTGGCTTCCTCACCTATGCAATGGGGGTAATTCTCTCCCTCCAAACTGGCCACCAGCGAAGGTGGCAGGCAGCTAACGGCGCGGCCAGCAGCCTTCGACTGTCTCCTCTACCGCATGCCTGCTTCCAGGAGGCTCGGGGGTTCATCTCTTGCTCTCCAGGCTCTCAGAATCTGGGGGACACGACCCTGCCCTGAGTCATGGAGGAAGGGACGCAGCCTCTGGGTTTCATTTCTCAGGCCAGGGGCACGATCCGGAGAGGTTATGCTGCCATGAAGCATGTAAGCAGGGAGGTGTCTGCTGTTTCAGGGGTGCAGGCGTTAGTAATCCTGAGCGTTTGGAGGCCGGCCAGGGGCCTGGGTCTCCAGGTCTGAAGACCTTGCCTCCTGGGAGGTCTCGCGGGAGGTCTCCAGCGACGCCTCAGATACGCCGTCAACGCTGCTGAGCAAGTCCTCAAACTCCTGGTGGTCGCTGTTGCGCACGGCAGCCTCCAGCGCCTTCTGCCGCCGGTAGAAGTGGGAGAACTTGTTGAAGATGATGGTGATGGGAAGCGCCACCACCAGGATGCCCCCCAGGATGCAGCCCGAGGCGGCCAGCTTGCCAGCCACCGTCACCGGCACCACGTCCCCGTAGCCCACGGTGGTCATGCTCACTGTGCCCCACCACCAGCAGGCGGGGATGGTGTCAAAGCCCACGTCCTCCTCCTTCTCGGCCGTGTAGGCCACGCCAGAGAACACCGACACGCCCACGGCCAGGTACAGCAGCAAGATGCCCACCTCGCGGTAGCTGTGCTGGAAGGAAGGAGGAAGCCGAGTCAGCGCTGGGGCTTACGGACCTGGCCATGGGCTTGGGGGGCGGGGGGGAACTGGTGCCCACAGAATAAACAGGACAGGTCTGAAGTCACAGCAGGGAAGGACGGGTGCCATGACCCGGGTCCCCGGACTCCATACTAAGCTCTTCTGTCATCGGTAGCCAAACTCCCTGCACCGAACACAGGCCTATGTTGTGTCGTCCCAGGTGTCTGCCAGCCACAGCTGTCTTCTAATGTGGGGGCCCTGGTGGTCCCAGTGAGCTGATGAAGGGCTGTGATTCTTATAGTGGCATAGTCCAGAGAGAGCCCTAGTCTATAGACCCCAAGACAAAGAGTTGACTTCATACTTTTGACTGTTCTATCACATTTCTTGCAAGTGCAAACTACTTTCTGCCAAGAAACAGCATCTCTGCACCACCCAGTGGCTGTGCAGATCTGCCGACCCCTGAGGTCAGGGCCTAAGGCAACCTTCCTCACAGAGAGCGAGTCTGCCCTGCAGGGACACTGGCGGGGTCTGGAGACATTTGTGCTTGTCACGACTGGGACAGGTGTGCCCCTGGCATCTAGAGGGTAGGAACATAACACCCTACAGTACTCAGGACGCCTCCCCAAACACACAGAATTATCTGGTTCCAAATGTCAGTGGTGCTGTCTGTGTTGCCCAGAGCAATGTGCAGAGAGGTCCAGCAGGGATCTTGCCTAAAGCACAGAACTCTGTGGAGTGAATGTGGGGTAGGGCCGGAGATGGCCAGCAAGTTTCTAAGCCACGGGGAAGCTGCTGCAGTCAGGGGCCTCGCTCTGAGTCTTGAGTCTCTCCCCTGGAGCCTGGCACCCAGGCCTTAGACTGGCAGCTCCAACCGGACTCTTTTCCCTCCAGTGGAAGGAGCTGGGCCCTGGCTGGTGGTGGCAAGGCAGAGTGCGGGGGTGAGGGTCTCCCCTGGGAAGAAGGGTGAGTGTGGAGGGCCGGCTGTGGGATCACCTGTCCCTGCCTCTCCCTACCGCCCTGCTCAGGCTGCCCTACCTGCACGCCGCCGACTTCCGGGCCACAGAGACATGCCGAGGTTCTACTAAGCCCTAGGTGGAAGGCAACTCCTCGGACCCCCCAGGGCTCCTCCGCGGGGCTGCGGGGAGCTTTGGGGGCACAGCATGAGGTGTTGGGCAGGCACAGCTGGGTCCTTTGCTGGGCTCTGCCCCTGTTGACTGATGAACTGTGAAAGTCCCCTCCCCTCTCGGAACTTCAGTTTCCACATCTGCAAAGTGGTGGCAATAATACAAGGCCCGGCTTTACCCTCACGGGCTCCCCTATTCCCTCAGGATAAAGGCCACAGTCGGAAACGGGGGTTCACGGCTCTCCGGCACCTTCCCATCGAATCTTTAACCTCCTCAGTTGGTAGCTCCTTCCTTCCAGACCCCTCCCAGCGTCCACCCCGTCCTCTCTCCAGGCTGTGGTCCAGTCTCCACCGTTGCTCTCTCCCACGCCGGACCATCTCACCCCTCCCAGGGTGCGCTTGCCAGCAGGAGATTCATCCACCCAGCACCGGGCCTGGTACAAGCAGGAGGCGGAATAAACCCGCCAGGCTTAAAGCAGCCAGCCCTCAGGCTCGCCTCTGCCCGAAGGGAGTAAATGCAAGCATCACCCTGAGGACGTTGTCCTGGGCCGGAAATCGATAATGGATGTGGAACTGGCCCTGGATTAGCACTCAGTCAGTATTCGCGGCAGGAGCTGCGCTAGACTTGGCTTACAAAGGGCGACCTATGCCTAACTGGACTCCCCAGAGAATTCCAGAAGAAAGGCCAGCAGCGACTGTTCCGCTCTGCACAATTCTGTGCCATGCCATTATTTGATAATATTTTGACATCCATCAGAAGTGACCTTTGTCTTTTATTTATTTTTTTGGAAAAGAAAGCCGAGCCAAGCTGTGGCTCCGTATATCCCCCCCACCTGGGAGAAGGGATCACAACATGCCCTTTGCCGAGGCTTGGGCAGGTCGCCTGGGACCGGGAATTCACCAGGTGCCCACTGCCTCGGGGCCTGGCACCAAGGAGGTCACTGGGAGGCGGCAGTGGGCGACTCAGTGGCTCGCCTCTCCCGGAAGCCACAGGTGGAAGGCGACTTCTCGGACCTGGCTGCCGGCCCACCCCACCCCCACCCCGG